AGTATGACAGCTAAAAGGTAAAGGAAAGCTACAGCTAGTGAATGAATAATGATAACAACGCAAGTGGTGCTAGCCAGAATGAACACATCTTTCAGTGGCAAGATTGCAGTTATGTCAATGGCCCACCATGAAAGCAATTGTTGCTTATTCCTGTCTTCAAACAGGAATTGGCTGCTGATGGATACATATGATGATCTCTAGTCAAGTGCTAGAGATGCTGGTTTCGCACAACAGTGGCCTCCAGAATAAAAGGCTTTGAGCACAATCTGAGTGCATGTATTTGTATTTATATAGTATATGCTTCTCTATGTAGCTCAGAATAGCACATAAGGGTTTCATTTTATAATGCATGACCCCATGAAACAGGCTAGTAAGCCAAACTGTATGTCTGAAGGGTTCTCAGTTTCCACTCCACTTTAGAGGTTTTCAGTGGACCCCTACATTTGAAAACACAATTCTGCCACTATGAGGAAATAGCTGAAAAGGCTACTGTTTTGATCTAAAACTCCCAGATTGCCCCTCTCCCCATCTCCCAAACCTACATGGTTGCTGCACATGATGGCTCCAGATACCTGGTAGTGGTTTTTGTCACTAGCAAAATATAATCAATAAATTACATTAACTATGTGACTTTTCTCACTCTCTTTTCACAGTCCCATTTCACTGAACAGCTCTGAAGTGCAATATCTAGTAAACATAGGCACTGATTGGTGGGAAAAGGGTACAAACGACCTCTTGTCAGTTCCTGTCTATCTGGTTTGGAAAGGTATTGATTTTTATTTTCTTAAGAGTACTGTACATTTTATACATTATTTGTGATTTATAAAGTACACTTTTCTGGACAAGTGAGCTCCTCTATGTGTTCCCAATGTCTCCATGTATAGGGCAGGTTGTTCTTTCAGACTTGTCTACTGGAGAGAATCATTTGCTCTGGACTCCTGAAGAAACAGGGCTCCTCTTCATGGATCGATTCAGCACATTTTGAAAATGAATGAATTGAACTGTAGTGAGCCAGAGTTGAAAACCTCTCTGCATTATAGCCAGAAGCTCACTTTTGTGGCCTCCATCATATAGCTCTCTGTGATTTTGGAAAATTGCAACAGCTGCCTAGATGAAATAATAATTGGGTAGGACGTTTCACTTGATCATAATTTTTTTTTAAAAAAAACAGAGGGTGAATTGTGGAATGAAATGACAGCAATCAACCCCTTAGCACATGAAGGGCGGTCCAGGGAGTCTTGCTATTCCTTGGCTCTGTCTTTTGCTTGTTATGTGACCTTGGGCAGCCCTGTTAACCTTTCTGTGACTATGTTTACAAGTCTACATTCTACTTGGGAGAGCTGAGAGAATAAAATATAAATGGTCATCAGACTTTTTGACTTCATTTCATCTAGAATTATTATAGAGGAACAACACACTAAAACCCATCAAAACTTATGAGGTGGAGGGAGAAAATGCATGCAAAGTTCCTGTTGCTCAATCTGTGGATTCTAGTCTTAGAAAGGGAACTTGGAATCCCATAGTTATCAGCTATGTTCACTGAAGCGCTTTCCCAAGCTCTGAGGTCCATTCTACACTACCCTGTAGCCCAGGATCTAATCCCAGATTATCTGATTTAAACTGCATTATACAAGTCTCCACTGCCAGATAACCTCCAATATGAAGATAATCTGGGATCAGATCCTGGGACACAGGGGCAGTGTGAAAGGAGCCTGAAACATTACAATTCCAAAAAGCCCAATGCGTTGCCATCACTGTATCTCAAGATTTCCTCAATGAATACCCAGGAAGATCGTAAAAACAAAACAAAAAGGTAGAGGTCTATTTCTGTTAACAAAACTCCATTTCACAAAATCTTTCTATGAGTCCACTCTGTCCTCTTTCTGCTTGTCTGTCTAGTTGGTTTTTTAAAAAAATTTAAACAGCATCAATATTAGGAACAAGGTAAAGTGGGGAGGGGGAGAGTCTATAATACATACTTCTGTGTCAGTTTGCAGTGATTTGTTTACAGCAAATAATGTATTAAAGGAGTTGAGCAATACTGAAATTTACCTTAGCTGTGTGTGCCTGCCTACAACAGGGAAAGTAAACAGCAGCTGCCTCCAAAATCTCTTTCAGAACTTGTATGAACTCAGAAGCAACTAGGACAGCAACTAGTAGGTAGGACAAACCTGTCCTACCTACTATAACTAGCACGTTAAAAAGCCCATATCTGTAAATTTAGCCACCAAAATAGAAATCATAACAAAAGTTAAATAGATGAAATAAAAAAAATCTCTGGATATATTCTGGAAAACATTTTCAAGTGGTCTCTAGAAGATATTTTCTATTAATGCAAGATTCACCTGACCTGGCTGATTTATTTTATGCACACTTATTGTTCGTTTTCAAATAAAAGTTTGCTCAAACATGTCAAACTGGTTTCTTTGGGGGGGGGGGTGTTTGCAATGAAGGAACGTATCCTAATTTTTTCCATGCTATTTCTGCTTCTGGTAGCAATCTTACTAATGTGCAGGGACACAGCTACATAGTTAACTCATATATATCTGTATAATGAAACACAAAACCTTGATCCGATGGAGAGAAGCAAAATGGATCTTTTTACTTAACATTCCATCCAGAAACAAAAGCCTCCACAAGTCAGGCCATAAACACAGCTGTGACATTACATTAAAGTTGTCAAGGAATGTTGCTTCTGTCCCAGCCCTCTAACCGACCACTTACACAACTGAACACCCATACAGACACAACACCCTAAATACAGAAACTATGTTCTTTCATTTGTTTCCCAACTTAATCCAACTAGTTAGGCACACATGTCTTCTTATACATATTCCATTCAACGGGCTATGCTTTTAGAAATTTAACATAAGGTAAAATACATAAAATGTATTGTCGAAGGCTTTCATGACCAGAATCACTGGGTTGTTGTAGGCTTTTTTGGGCTATATAGCCATGTTCTAGAGGCATTCTCTCCTGACGTTTCGTCTGCATCTATGACAAGCATCCTCAGAGGTAGTGAGGTCACTACCTCTAAGGATGCTTGCCATAGATGCAGGCGAAACATCAGGAGAGAATGCCTCTAGAACATTCCCATATAGCCCGAAAAAACCTACAGCAACCCACACAAAATGTTAATTATAAAGACATACTGAAACATTGGAACTGCAAGTTAGACACGGCTCCTAATGATTTCATGGTAATGAAGCACAGTCATATTCTCTGAATTAGAGTCAATCAGTAAAATATATTTGACTTTTTCTTAGATTTTGACTATCTGATTCAGTGTCTGTATTTCCAACTTGAATAATGATTTTCTTTTACTTCAGAACTTCTTGGATGAGCTCAACACAGAGCTTTCTAAGTAGTATTTTGCAACATGTTCGTGTGTTGGCTGTAAAGTGTAGGTGTGTTGCACAAACATAACAAGAATCCTCTGTGTTCTATGTGACATAGCAATAAAACATATATATTTAAAAATATGTAAATGAAACGTTTGCATGAGATATGTTGTACCCCCGGATGTTTTGTTATTACAATTTATTTATTTGTTCATATATTTTATAACAGGGCCCCCTGATGGTGCAGCGGGTTAATCGCTGAGCTGCTGAACTTGCTGGTGGTTCAAATCTGGGGAATGGGCTGAGCTCCCACTGTTAGCCCCAATTTCTGCCAACCTAGCAGTTCAAAAACATGCAAATGTGAGTAGGTACTGCTTCTGCGGAAGGTAATGGCGCTCCATGTGGTCATGCTAGCCACATGACCTTGGTGGCATCTATGGCTCTCTGGCTTAGAAATGGAGATGAGCACCACCCCCCAGAGTAAGACATGACTAGACTTAATGTCAAAGGGAAACATTTACCTTTACCTATCTCTTGTAAGGGGTTGGTTTAATTTCTCGTTTGCTAGTAAAACTGAATTGTTGTGTCATAAAATGATGCACATCTAAAAAGTGTATCACCAACATGAAATGCTTGGTAAACTTTGGGCAGCAGCAATATTTTTAGTTGGAAATTTGTATGTAGCTGATTCCTTTCTTGGAGTCAGTGGGATTGTAAAATGGACAACTGGTGTATTTAAAACAGAAGTGTAGAACCTCTGTGAGTGGGGGCAAAGTCTTGTTGCCTCCTCAACATATATGTAGTAGTGTCTATTGAAATGAAATATTAGTAATGCAGAAAAGTCAGTTCCACTTTGTAGGACCCTGCCACAGAATTTCAGCAGTGTAAAAGGAGCAAAAAGAAAAATCATTTTGAAAGTCAGAAGCTTGGAGCACACGTGCCTTGTTTTAAGGCCAAAATTTGCTTACAGTCATACTACTCTATTCAAAAGCCAGGTGCAAGCTCCCCATATGTCTTGCTTTAAACCTATGAGTTTCTTGACTGCTACTGCATAGTTGCAGAGTGGCAAATTCTGCAGCAGCAAGTTCTTGAATGGAAGACGGGTGAGATGTGTGAGTTAAGAGGTAAATATGATACCTCCCTCTGTTGGAAACGTGACATGCAACATTGTTATGTGGGAACAACAGATTAATTAGTCATATTCACCGTTTGAAAAAAAAAACAAACCCCTCAGTCCACAGTGACGTTTCTGACTGATAGAATCATGTTGTCCTGGCTAAGACTTTACTGGACTAGACTTAATTTGGAATGCACCAAAATTACTGCACATAAAAGGTAGTGTAACCCCAAAGTAAACTCTAAGCTGCACTAAGGATATAAATATCCAACTTGATTGGGCAAACCAGAAATTATAATTGCTAGCACAAAACTTCCTCTGTGATTTGGAATGAGGAATATTTAAAATGTGAGGGAGCAGGAGGCTTTTCATTATTTCCCCCCTTACCACTTACTCTGAATGTATACAATGGCTGCCTTTCTTTTCCTATTAAAGTAGTTCAAGTTTTCCCATCCCTCCTTTCTCACTTCTGCTCTGGCAGGCAGTCAATAGATTCTTCGGGTGGTGTGTGTAACTCTCGGCAGTCCGCAAAGCATACTTACTCAGAGCTCTTGCTGTTGCTGCCATTCACAGAGCCAGCGCGCGGCTCCTCTTGGCTTAGAATCTGGATCCCCAAGGACTTGACTGCTCGCATCAGAATAGCTTCCATTGCCTCCACTGACAACTTTTCAAGAACAATAACACGACATCGGCTCAGAAGAGCAGAATTGACTTGGAAGGAAGGGTTTTCCGTGGTTGCTCCAATCAGTGTCACAGTTCCACACTCGACGTGTGGGAGGAACGTGTCCTGGCCATGGGCGGAAAACAGAAGAAATTGGTCCCAATCAGTGAAAACGCCAGGCATCCCATGTAAGTGAAACATTTCAAAATCCAACCCTTTTTAATGGTTTCTATTTGTCTGGAGGTATAGGGAATGTGAGCTGGATATATTTTGCTGATCACTTATCCTAAGAATGAGGATTAACCACTTCATTCATTCCATTCCCACTGTGTATGTTCTGGAGATCATCTCAGTTGTATCCATTACCAACAATGAAACATATTATTTAGTATATTTGGATGGTGTTACTTTTGTCTGTACTTTTTACCTACTTGAAAAAACCGATTGAACCATCTCAAATAGCATGCAACATTGCTACAAAAAGTCTTTAGTAGCTCTTCCACTCACCAAAAGGATGACTGGGAGAGATTATAAAGCATTATATACATCTTTGGAAGATCTGCCTTAATCCATCCTTCATAGCAACCTACCATTCTCTAAATGTGTTGTAATTTTCAGCACCCACTTATGTCAAGAGTTGTCACCTTTCTCTTCAATTCCAGATATACAGTTTTAAAATAGCAATCCAACTATATAAATTAAATCAAACATGAACTGACTAATGATTTCTTAAAGAGTAGAGTCCTTTTGCCTCTTCCTTTAGTGTTCCAAGACTTGAAAAAGATGCTTTGGCTTTTTGCGAAACTACTGTCCATCAAATTCTTAATCTCACGCTAGTAGCTTCAACTGGACTACAATGTTCTTATTAATGTAAATTAAAGCTCAAATGATTTAAGCAAAGATATAATGTGTTTTCCAAATAGAAATCTTATTTTAGAGCAGTGGTTCTCAATCTTCTTAATGCAGCGACTCCTTAATACAGTTCCCCATGTTGTGGTGACCCCCAACCATAAAATTATTTTTGTTGCTGCTTCGTAATTTTGCTACTGTTATGAATCGTAATGTAAATATATGATATGCAGGATGTATTTTCATTCACTGGACCAAATTTGGCACAAATACCTGATATGCCCAAATCTGAACACTAGGAAGGGTTGGGGAAGGATGGATTTTGTCATTTGGGAGCTGTAGTTGCTGGGATTGATAGTTCATCTTCAATCAAAGAGCATTCTGAACTCCACCAATGATGGAATTGAACCAAACTTGGCACCCAGAAATTCCATGACCAACGGAAAATACTGGAAGGGTTTGGTGGGCATTGATCATGCATTGGAGTTGAAGTTCACTTACATCCAGAGAGTACTGTGGACTCAAACAATGATAGATTTGAACCAAACTTGGCACGAATACTCAATATGCCCAAATGTGAACACTGGTGGAGTTTGGGGAAAATAGACCTTGACATTTGGGAGTTGTAGTTGCTGGGATTTATAGTTCACCTACAATCAAAGAGCATTCTGAACCCCACAAATGATAGAATTGGGTCAAACTTCCCACACAGAATCCCAATGCCCAACAGAAAATACTGTGTTTTCTGATGGTCTTTGGCGACCCCTCTGATACCCTCTTGCGACCCCCAGGTTGAGAAACATTGTTTTAAAGAATGCATGAAATCAAGCAAACAGCCAATGCTGTTGAGTTCCACTTGTTGATGCTGATGCCTTCTAAATGTGATTGCTTACATCCCACATATCCTCCAGACAATACTGTTTTTTGAGAGGATGATAGGGTTTGTAGTCTGCCCTTCAGGAAGAAAGTAAAAAGATGGTTATGTGACCAAACTTTTGGATAGCAACTTTTGGATAGCAACTTTTTTAGTGCAACAAGAGAATAATGAATAGTGAACAGATCAATGGAACAGCTTCGGATTATGATTCCAGATGGCGTGATTTTAATAATTGTTTTTAAATTGTGTTGTTTTAATGGGCTGGTTTTAATATAAATGTTACTGTAAGATTGATTCTATGTTTTAATTCTATGTTTTAATGTCTAAATGTTGCTTATGCTTTATGCTTTAATATGGTAAATGTTTTTAATTTATAGGTATGTGTTATTGTCTAGATATTATGCTTTAGTTTTCACATGTATGTATGGCATTGAATTTAGCATTATGTTGGTAACTGCTTTGAGTCTCTTCACAGTTGAGAAAAGTGATATATAAATGCAGTAAATAAATAAAATAAATATGTCTGGGTGGACTATTGTGGAGGGTTGGCACAGTAAATTTTGTGTAGGACATATACTGGGCAGACCTCAGCCTTACTTGGGGTTGTGTGTACTGTTGAAGGCTTTCATTGCCGCAATCATTGGGGTGTTGTGTGGTTTCCAGGCTGTATTTTTTCCTAGGAGAAAATGTTGCTAGAATATGGCCATGCAGTCCACAAACCACACAACACCCCAATGATTGCGGCCATGAAAGCCTTCAACAGTACATTAAGCCTTACTTATTCCATTCTAGCAGATTCAGAGGAATGAACACACATTACTACATGAGAATTCGAGAAAGAATATGATGCATTTATGACAAACAAATGTGTTTTTTTAAAAAGTATCAGTATGGCTTCAAAACAATATCGGCCTAAAATGTTTCTGACAAGAGACATTCACTTCTAAACAGGATGACTACACGGATATCTGTCAATACCTGTTGAGATTTATTGAAACGGTGTATCTCATCAATGAAGAGGATAGTTTTCCTCTTGCAGAGTCTCTTTTCATTTTGGGCTTGAGCAATGACATCTCTGACATCGTTGGTTTTGGCACTTGTCGCTGACAATGTCACAAACCGTGTACCCTTCTTCTTGCTGTTGTTTGCAATGATGTGCGCCAAGGTAGTCTGAAACCAAGAGAGAAAGGATGCTGATGGTTGATTTTGCTTTCAAAATAGAAAACAGGGTATTGATGAGTAAGGAAATACTTGGAGATAACAACACCAAGACAAAGGCTCCGCTTGCCTTATAGAACAGATGCCCTCTATGAAAGTCCAAGAAAATAAAATTCAAAGGTATTCCCCCTCCTCTTTTTCCTGGAACCTTATTTTCCAGAGAAATGAATGAAGCTGGACTATTTTCTTTCATGGTTAAAATGTGTCAATACAAGTTATTCATAGATTTATCTCCCCATCCCCAAATTATTTCTCAAAATGATATATCAGGTAGACTCTTATGTAAGACAACATGCAGTAACGCTATTCAATATCTATACACCATAGATACTATGTGAGACATCAGCTGCCAGTCCATGCTGATTTTGCAGGAAACAAAAAAAAAGGCTGTAGCAAATGGATACAAATATGATATTGATGCTTTTTATATTACAACAATAATATTGTTGAAATATTCACCCACATCAGATAGACAGAGAAGCAATGATATACAGTATTAGATCATTGTCATTCTTGAGGATTCCTCTTTACCATTCTTTTTACAGAAATGATGGATTTATACCTGATTGACACCATGAAAGATCAGAAGAGGCAAAAGCATTTTTATACTAATGTTGGTGGCTTCTTCTGCTTTGCCCTTGATTCTTATAAAATAGTAAAACCAAAGAGGTTCTTTTCAGTTTATGGTAGTTTAGAAAATTGTAAAAAAATGCTTATTTAAATGTTATTTTTTCTCATACAAATAAAGCTAAAATGGCTCAGAACATTGTAGCTTTATTTTTTATGAGAAAAATAACATTTTCAAAAAACAATGTTTACCATTTTCTAAAAAAAAAATTAAGTGTAAGGAGCAAATTGCAAAACTGCAAGTCGCTTCTGATGTGATAGAATTGCTGAGGGAACGCCCGGATGTTTTACCAGCCTATGGGAGACTTCTCTCATGTACCTGCATGAGAAGCTAACTGACGGGAGCTCACCCGGTTCCCTGGATTCGAGCCGCTGACCTTTCAATCAGCAGGCCTGCCGGCACAAGGGTTTAACCCATTGTACCACCAGAGCTCCTATTTTCTAAATAAACTGTAGATTTGATAAACCAAACATCACTTGCCAAACCAAGTCATACACAACACATTTAAGCTTTTATATTCCACCCTTCTCAACCTGAAGGGGACTCTGGGTGGAGCACAACATATATTGCAAACATTAAATGCTGGAATAAAACAAACTATAAATATACACAAACATTAAAATCGGTTCTTTCCATTTAAAATCAAATTGTTAAAACCATCTCAAACCAGCCATACCAGATGGTTTCCTGTTATTGCCTTATTGCAGTATTTGTAAAAATGCAACTTACTTTCAGTCTGTAACACATTTTATATTACTAAAGTGGCACACTTACTTTCAATTTGTACCACATTTTATATTACTAAAATAGAAAACTTACTTTCAATCTATACAGGTTCTGTAAAAATTGTCAATATTGCATTTTTGTCATTTTTTTCCAATGTTACCCCCCCCCCCCAAAAAAAAAAAAAACCCTGGTGGGAAATGGTTTCTTTCCACGGCTGCTTCAAAGTTTATATAATTCTTACACTTTTATGTAATCTTTATCCCAGTGAATAAATAGAAAATCCATGTGACATTTGTTTAGAAAGAACTGTCATCCTAGCTCAGGGCAAAGAGAAATAAATCTTCTATATTCTGGCTGGAATCCTAAGAGCTATTTTAGCCTGTTAGCATTCTCTGTGGAATTCTGGAGGGTCTTTCCCTTTGGACGGCAGACCCTCGTGCAGTTCTACAGGCTGTTTTCCAAAGTCCATGCAGTTTTAAAAGCCATTTGCAAAACAATCTCTGAAGAATCCAAGGAGGACTTACTCAAAACTAACATCAGTTTGCAGTACTTGGGCCTTGAACTTTCCAGTATAGATAAATAGCTTTATTGATATATACAATATTATAAAATCATACATTTGTGCTTTATTTTATTAATAACTCTGAGTTGGATTCAATGGGAGTGCTTCTGAAAGGAGAAGGGGACACATCTTGGATTTCTGCAGAATATCCATCCAAGTTCCTTTCCCTAATACTATACCGAATGCAGTGCAGGAGGGAATTCCTGAAACTTTTAGAATTGTATTTTTGGAGAGATGGTAAGTTCATCAGTTGGATAGCAATGGGAGAAATCCTTGTTCCTCTTTTCCCGTTTGCTGAAGAGCATCTATTATAGCTATCTGTAGGGTCTTTCCCTTTGGACCAGTTCTGTGGATCTCTGAAGGGTCTGCCTCCAAGAAACTCATCCTTGCTTGGTCTTTTCAAAAGCAAACACCTAATCCTGATCAAGACGACTATATTCTGATCAAGGTGAAAATAATACTGTCCTACTTCACAGCTCTTTTTTAACGGCTGTTAAGATAATGAAAGTGAAGCTCTCTGAACGCCCAAGGCATCATATGAATATTAGAAGTATTTACCTTACATTTAGTACTAATTATTGCAATAAACATGCTAATCCGAAGGTTCTGTGTGTTGCCTTAAGCTATTTCCTTGTTAATATCACTCTGCCTCTACAAATGAAATATAATCAGTGCACTTCATTGGCTGCCAGACAAACTGTTGATTTATCTTAAAGGGTGGTCCTTTTGACCTCTTCTCTTTGCCCTCTTGACAGGACATATTATTACCTTGTGGCCACCGTTATTTATGGGGACCTCTGAGCCCTCCTTGTGACAGGTCTATACACTGTGACCTGACAAGGTGAATGCTGCCTCCAGCCGCCTAGATTCATAGTCTGAAGTGAAGCACTTGCACATGGAGAAGAAACAGGAGTGCTAGTGCTCTCCTGGTGGCAGAGAAACACATGGTTATTGAGCTGAGCAGATCACATATTAGAACAAATATTTTTTTAGATTGGGTTGCTGTGAGTTTTCCTGGTTGCATGGCCATGTTCCAGAAGCATTATCTCCTTCAACAGCACATTTTTTCAGGTTGCATTTCCTGAATTCCTCTAACCTTGGAACCATAATCCAGAAAAAAAAAATCTTTTTCAAGCAATGTACCCTTGCTGTGTTATATGTAAATCTTTGTACGCTGGTCATGGAATGCACTCAGGGTGATCATGCGAGAGAGATCTTTTCACACTACACAGTACATCCTTAAGGTGTTATATGGAAAATATTTTTGGCAGAACATCACATTTTTTTAAAAAAATGGCAATAAGGTAAGTAGTTGTAGAGAAATGGTCTAAGAACCATATTGATACCACATCCAGTATTATCAAATTTACTAACAACATCAACAAAAGCAATTTAATAAATACCACTTGAAAGCACCATTCAACATATAACATGGAACAGCATATCGCTTACGTAAGGTTGCCTAGTAGTTCCGTAACAAAGGCAAAATCAAAAGTAGGGATTTACTGATTCCTAATTTAGTTTCTCTAGTCCAGTGGTTCTCAACCTGTGGATCCCCAGATGTTTTGGCCTTCAACTCCCAGAAATCCTAACAGCTGGTAAACTGGCTGGGATTTTTGGGAGTTGTAGGCCAAAACACCTGGGGACCCACAGGTGAGAACCACTGCAGCCCATCTTTTTTATGTCCATAATCCTCCCTTTACGAAATGGAACTTACAGAAGGAGAAAGCAATTGAGCTATTTTCCCCAGATCCAAAAACCCTCTCAAAAATGCTCATCCTGCTCCTATTCACCATGCCCACACTCTTAGTGTACTGCTGTTGTTTTCTTGCTTTCTCATAACCTCCATATCAGTGTCCACATATTTTTAAAAGTGTGCACTTGCTTCAAAATGGCCCACCATTTCCTATTCATAAAGTTACATTTACACATCAGGTCTCCTACACAGAAGAAGAAACTGCCCAGTTTTTATACAGGATGGGAGGGAAGATGAAAACAATGGCAGAGGGACTGAAAGGAGGTAAAAGGGGAAACAAAAGAGGAACAAGGAAGGAAATTCAACAGTATAGCTTGTGTTTTTCTTGCAGAGGATCCTAGCTTTAGTAGGGTCCCTAAGACAAGCTGGGAGAGAAATCCGTGTGAACACCTGGCAGACTTTTCCAAATAGTGCAGACAGTCCTGAGCTAGATGAAACAGCTATATAACTTGGAATGAAGCGTTATGTTCCACTGTCAACAACAACATCAAAAACTACAGCAATGAGTTGTGAGCTGCTTTCAGCCTACAAATCAAATACAGTAAATGTGTTTTTCACAATAAAACATATTGTGAAAAATGGAGAGACAATAGGGACAACACAAAAATGCAAAAGAATTACAAGAAACATATTTTGGATCACCTAGATGTAAGAAAGTAAGAAAATTGTGGCACCCCGACTTTCTATAGACGAGTCAAAGGTCTTATTCTTTCAACTCCAGAGAAGTTCAAGTGAAAGCAAGAAGACGACATTCCATAACTTAGTAGGAAGGTTTTTCAATGGAACAGGTGCAGCAAACAGCTGTCTGGACAGGATGTGCTTCAGAAGGTTTGGGAGAGGTACAGTAGCAGAAAAATGTAGGAATATGGCAAGAGGTACCAGCCTTACAAAATTTCAGATATTTGAAAACTGTGTTTCCACTTTCCATCTTAACTCAAAAAAAAAGCATCGCTATCCTTATTCCATGGCAAGCTTAAGTCATATGACTTGATTTGCACAGAATAGATGTAAATCAGACTAATAATATATCTCAACCATGGATTTAACTGAATAGTGCTGAGCAGCATTAGTTGTCATGTTGCACAGGTTGAACATCCCTTACCTTGAGTTCCAAAATCTGAAACACTCCAAAATCTGAAATTGTCCGCATCGGTGACTGAGATAGTATCTACAGACTTTGTTTTATGCACAACATTATTTTAAATATTGTAAAAAATATCTTCAGAATTTATGTAAGAAGTGTATTTGAAGTATAAAATAATCTTGACTTTAGAACTGGG